GAGGCTGGTAGGTAGGAGGTGGGGGTGGGGGTTGAGGTGGGAGGAGCAGATAGGTGGGAGAAAAGACGGACAGGTCAGGGAGGCGGGGATGAAGCCAGTAAAGGTGAGTGTAGGTGAGGAGTTAGGATGGGGGTTGGGTCAGTCAAGGGAAGACGGACCAGGTCAAGGAGGTGGGGATGAGGCTGGTAGGTAGGAGGTGGGGGTGGGGGTTGAAGTGAAAGGAGTGGATAGGTGGGAGAAAGGACGGACAGGTCAGGGAGGCGAGGACGAACTGGGCTGGTTTTGGGATGAGGTCGGGGATGGGAAGATTTTGAAGCTTGTGAAGTCCACATTGATACCATTGGGCTGCAGGGTTCCCAAGCGAAATATGAGGTGCTGTTCCTGCAACCTTCGGGTGTCATTGTTGTGGCACTGGAGGAGGCCCAGGATGGACATGTTGTCCAAGGAGTGGGAGGGGGAGTTGAAGTGGTTCACGACTGGGAGGTATAGTTGTTTGTTGCGAACTGAGCGTAGGTGTTCCGCAAAGCGGTCTCCAAGCCTCCGCTTGGTTTCCCCGATGTAGCGGAGGGCACATCGGGAACAGCAGATACAATACACCACATTAGCGGATGTGCAGGTGAACATCTGCTTGATGTGGAAGGTCTTCTTAGGGCCTGGGATGGGGGTGAGGGGGGAGGTGTAGGGGCAGGTGTAGCACTTCCTGAAGTTGCAGGGAAAAGTGCCAGGGGTGGTGGGGCTGGTGGGGAGTGTGGAGTAGACAAGGGAGTCACGAGAGAGAGGTCCCTCCAGAAGGCAGATAAGGGTGGGGAGGGAAAAATGTCCTTGGTCGTGGGGTCAGATTGCAGGTGGCGGAAGTGGCGGAGGATGATGCATTGAATCTGGAGGTTGGTGGGCTGGTATGTGAGGACAAGGGGGATTCTGTTTTGGTTGTTGTTGCAGGGAGGGGTTGTGAGGGATGAGTTGCGGGAAACACGAGATGCGGTCGAGGGCGTTTTCGACCACTGAGGGGGGGGAAGTTGCGGTCCTTGAAAAGTGAGGACAAAATCCTGATGCTCTTTCCAGCACCAGACACTAGGTGGCGATCAAGATCCATTTGCAGTTTTGATTGTAATGGATGGATTAATCAAGCTCCATGAACTTGACCCTAAATTCCACCATTCTCTGGATGCTGCCTAGCATGCCAGGGTGCTATCCTGCACTATACAGGCTGATATCTGTTCCTATTCTGAGTCTGCTGCATTTCTGTCTCTGTTTTATCTCTCTGGAGTTCCAATAAACACTTCCATTATGATACAGGATACTGATACTCTCTATCACAGCTCACTGCTATTCCATCCTCTCTGAAAAGAGTCTCAATAGCATAAGGCTGTTGACGTTAGAGTTACATCATTATATACATCTTCAGATCATTTATATAGGCATTCTCAGTACATCACTATATGCATTTTATTATAGTATACGTTCTCAATACAATACAATGTATTATGTCAGATTATTTTACATATTATCCATTCTCAGAGTTGTCACTATATATTACATATTAGGTATTATCCATTCTCAGTACATCATTACACACTACATTATGATATATAATACATTCTCAGTATATTACTATTTTCTGCACTCCTCCCCACCCCCAATAAACCCACAGTTGTTCAGGCCAATTGTCACGTTAAGAGCCATACCAACTGATACCAGACATTATATCAGGGACTGAGATAAAACCTTTGGATCAATGGGAATCACCCCAAGGTTTACTTCGCAATCATCATGAAATAAATCACTGTTAAAGGCTGTTCAGTTTCCTATTGACTTTTGTATGATTAAAGCTGAAAAAAAAAGCTAAGTACAAACTATGTATTCTTGTGAACTGTCCTGAAAACTCTGACAAAACGCGTCTGTTTCCAGCAAAGCTCAAGTTCTGTATTCCCAAATGACTATATGTACACCTGAACCATTGATATAACTAAGATCAACATTGGGTTATCAACAAGCAAGTTCATTATGAACAGGTGAGCTGTCTACTGAACTTCTTCAGGACTGTATTCGGTTAGATGAGATTGAACAGATTGGTAATAGAGTTACTAATTTACACTTTACCCTTGCTGCCATTGATCTGAAGTGAGCAAATTTCTTTCATTTTTCAATTCGATCTGTTTATGTCACTATATTGCATCCATAGATGATTGTACTGTAAGTATTACCTGTTTAAAATAAGCCTGCACTGTAAACTCACTTAAGCAGAGGTGATCTGGCAGCACAATTAACAATGTCACTAAATACATCGTAAATCTCTCTGTACAAGTACTGTCTGAAGGCAAGGAGTTCAAGGAGCTTCAGTTTTGATGGGTCTTCATTCCACATCAAATAGGAAGAGGTACCTTCTCAGTTTGAAGACCTGTACTTCCAGCAATCATAGCCACGCACCAGTGTCTACATACCTAGCTGATCTAGTGCACACCTGTTGTGGGATTCCAAACAAATAAAAGAAGATTGCAAGAGTTTTTCTTTAGATATATAAAAGGTAGGAGAGAAGCAATAGTGATCACTGGACCTTTGGAAAATGACACTGGAAAGTACTAATGGGAAGCAAAGAAATGGCTGAGGAACTGAAGAGGTACATTGCATCAGTCTTCACACTGGAAGACACCAGTAGCATACCAGAACATCAAGAGAGTTGGGGCAGAGGTGAGTGTAGTAAGCATCACTAAAAAGGGAAGCCGCTGGGGAAGCCTAAAGGTCTGATTGTGGATAAAACATCTTGACTGAATGGACTAGACCCTAGGGTGCTAAAGAGAAAGCTGAGGAGATTGTAGAGGCTTTGGTGGTGATCCTTCAGGTATCACTGGAGTCAGGAGTGACCTAGAGGACTGGAAAATGGCTAAACTATCACCACTGGCTAATGTTTAAGAAGGGAGGGAGGCAAAAGACATGGAATTAGGCCAAATAGCCTGACCTCGCTCATTGGTAAGATTTTAAAGCCCCTTGTTAAGAATGAGATTGGGGAGTACTTGGAAATGCATGGTAAAATAAGGTTAAGTCAGCATGGCTTCATCAAGGGGTGGTCTTGCCTGACAAATCTCTTAAAATTCTTTGAGGTGGTAATGAGCAAGTTAGATAAAGGATTTCCAGATAACCTTTGACAAAGTCACAGGAGGCTGCTAAATAAGATAAGAGCCCACGGTGTTAGGGGCAAGATACTGGCAATGGATAGAGGATTGGCTGACTGGCAGAAGGCAGACAGTAGGAATAAAGGGACTGTTTTTGGGATCGCAGCCAGTGACTAGTGGAGTTCTGCAGAGGTCAGTGTTGGCACCACGACTATTCACGTTAATACATTAATGATCCGGATGAAGGGACCGAAAACATTGTTGCTAAGCTTGCGGATGGCACAAAGATAGGTGTAGGGGCAGGTAGTGGGAGCAGAAATGCTGTAGAAGGACTTGGACAGGCTAGGAGAGTGAGCTAAGATGTGGCAGACAGAAAACAATGTGGGAAAGTGTGAGGTTGTGCACTTTGGTAGGAAGAATAGAGGCGTAATTATTTTCTAAATGGGGAAAGGCTTCAGAAATCTGAAGCACAAAGAGGCTTAGGAGTCAGTTTAGGGTTCTCTTGAGGTTAAAATACAGGTTCAGTTGGCAGTTAGTAGACAAATATGATGTTAGCATTAATTTCAAGAGGCCTAGAATACAACAGCAGAGATGTACTGCTGATGCGGTATAAGGCTCTGGTCAGACTGAATTTAAAATAGTGTGAGCAGTTTTGGGCCCTGTCTCTAAGGTAGGATGTGCTGACGTTTGAGGGGATCCAAAAGAGGTTCAGAAGAATGATCCCAGGAGCGAAGGGCTTGTCATATTTGTCGTATATGTTTCCAGGTTAGGCAATGGCCTAGTGGTATTATCACTGTTAATCCAGAGAACAAGGTAATGTTCTGGGGACCTGGGTTAGAATCTACCATGGCAGATGGTGGAATTTGAATTCAATAATAATCTGGAAATAAGATTTCAATGATGACCATGAAACCATTGCTGATTGTCAGGGAAACCCACCTCGTTCACTTATGGTTGTTAGGGAAGGAAATCTGTCATCCTTACTTACATGTGACCCACAACAATGTGGCTGATTCTTAACTGCCCTCTGAATATTTAGGAATGGGTAATAAATGCTGACCTAGGCAGTAACACCTGCATCTGTAGATGAATTAAAACAAAAACTTGTAGGACAGACTAAAACCTCAGGGCGAAGGGACAACCCCTTAGAACTGAGATGAGGAGGAATTTCTTCAGCCAGAGCTTAGTAAATCTGTGGAACTCACTGCCACAGAAGGCTGTGGAGGCCAAGTCATTGAGTGTCTTTAAGACAGAGCTAGATAGGTTCTTTATTTGTAAGGTGATAAAGGGTTATAGGGAGAAGGTGAGAGAATGGGTCAAGAAACATATCAGTCATGATTGAGTGGCGAAGGAGACTCGATCGACTGAATGGCCTAATTCTGCTTCCATGTTCTTTGATCTAACTTGTCTGATTTTCACATGCAACATGAATGTCTGGTAGTGCTGTGAGACTTCAAGGTCAAGCTGGACACAATAACAAACCCGACAAGAGGACTCAGCATTAACAAGTTTGACTACTTCAACAAAATGCAGCCCTTCTTAATGATACACCTGAAGTTGGATCCATTGGACCTGCCTCTCAGCATGATTGGACAGCCTGTTCAAAAGCAAGCAAAGAATGCTTTTGCTGGACTGCATAAAAGCAACAAGCTGCTGGAGATATATATGTTATGTCCTCACAGCTCACTGTATCATTGCGTGTGTGGGTTTCTCAAGAGTGATGCCCCATTATGCTCTATCTTATCTATGATCAGCCCTGCACAACATGAGCTAGCCAAATAATTGGATGCGCTGCTACAAGTTATGAACAAATTTTCATTGATTGAAGGATTCCTTCATATTTGCAAAGGTCATACAGGACTTGAATATCGAGAGCAGTAGAGTGCCCATGTGCTCATTTAATATTGCAGGTTTATTCACCAATATACCACTCATGGAAACCACAGACATCTTCTCGATCCACCACCATTGCACAAATCAGTGTTCAGTGAACTTATGGAACTCAACAACTCACAGAGTTCAGTTTCAACATCAACATGAATACCCAAATAAATGGTATTGTCATGGGATCTCCACTAAGCCTAGTACTTGCAAACATCTTTGTTGGATTCCAAGAAAATTGTATGTTCGATGGAATAACACTTAACCTTTTATATTTCTGATATGTTGATGACACATTTGCTATATTTGAATCTGCAGCTGCATGTAAAAGTTCCCTTCCTCGTCCTGATAAGCACATCCTGCACTCAAAACTTTCTTCTGCAATGGAACGGTCAAATGACCTTCCTTTCCTCGATGTTCTAGTTGGGAATTCAGCCATGGGATTCCCTACTACTGTCTACCACACATCAGTAAACATGTTGGGGTTCCAGCACAGTTCCACACACTGCAAGATTGGCTTTATCAGCAACTGAGCATTTGGCTCACCCTCCAAACAAGAGACTGAAATAGGGAATGTCAAAAGCCATCCTGTGGAATAATGGCCACCCTGATGAGATCATTTCTTGCTGTGTATCACCCAAGCTCAAGAGCATTTCTTAGGCCTGTAAAGTGTCTAGTCTAACTAAGATTATGTGGAAGAATAAGATATCTCAAAAGTTGGAGGTGAAGTCAGCTGTTTCATGTTGGGCTAACATGCAGTTGTAACATTAATGGTGTTCGCCACTGACAGGATGCAGATGTTCTACCTGTCACACAAATGAGTAAAGGTGAAAACGAATTTCAATGCAAGTGTGGTACAAGGTATGTAGGGTAAACATTCCAAAGACTGGTATAAAACAGCATATCCCTTTGACTGTTAAGAACCAACAACATACTGACCATTCCCATCCAGCTAGCTTTTGCAAAACTCACAACACAGTGTCCAACTTTAGATGTGACTTTGTAATTGAACAACATTTTGCTATATAATCCTGACTCTGCAAATAATTCACTGACAATCATTCAATTTAGGATTGTCAGTTAGGGTCACAGTGAGGTGCACTTGCATGTACTAGAAGCTACATATATCAATATACAGTGTACAGATTTTTTTGCAGACAAAGAACCTGTACATATATTGTACTAGTTTCAACTCAACAAAATAGGTGACAGCCATTCACTGTTGCAGTTTTCAGGGCAATACCCTGACTAATCATTCAAACTGCCTGGTTTAATGTTTAAACAACTACTGGCAGTTAACTGTCAATTAATGACAACACCTCTATCAATGACTGTCCATTTGCCAACCAATCCTCACTCTCCTCTCATACAGTATAAATTTATTTTTCATCTTTACGTTGGTATTCTTGTGAATCATCCTGATGAGTACAAGAAAAAAAGCTTTGACATAAATGTCTTTTTTCAGCAGTTCTCAAGTTCTGTACAACCATGCGACAAATTAGATATTTAGAAAAAATTTGAGATATGAAGTTCTTCAGATGGATGACTGGTTCTTTCCAACAATGCATACTGATTGGTGGTTCAATGCCCAGTCCGTGGCACAATTAGCCTCAGTAAGCCTAGGTTAAGAAGGGGAACTTTACCTATCAGCTCTGATCAACACGCATTGATCCTTTGTTAAAAGTCTGCAGGCAAGAATTGTGTCAAGTTGAAATAGGATGTTCAATTGAGCAGACTAATGACACCCACTCTCACACTTACCATGAAAATAATACTCACTTCGCCAAGGTACCAGAAACCAGGTACACAGCCGTTTGAAAAGATAGGGCTCATGCAGGGGAACCAAACAAGGCTTCAATAATTAATACAGTGCCGTCAACACAATCACACTCACTCTTTGGGGTAAGACTTAAATTACCAGAAACATTTAAAATATTGCTGAACTGCCTCTTGTGATTAAAAAACACTCAGTAACCCTTTAGTTCAAACATTTCATTATCGTATATACTACAATGTCTGGACTGAATGGCAGGGGGTGCTTTAGTAAGACACTTCTTCGATACTGTAACTGAACTTTCCACCCAGCATCTCTTTATTGTTTTGGTACTCATAGACCAGCTTTAAAAGCTGTGTGTGTCGATTCTTATTTTCAAACAATTCATTGGATACATACATTCTCAATATTAGAATTAAACATTGGTTATTCAGCACGATGGTGGATAATCAAGACTCATGGCCGCCTTCCCTCTCACTATTGGTAAGGAATCAACTTAAAATTTATAAGTTAATCTATAAAACAGCTAATGATTTAACAGAAAAGTGCAGACTGGATAGGGGTAGATGAAATCAGACATACCTTGAACCTTCGGTCATATTTAGTAACAGCATCTGCAAATTCAACCTTTTCTCTTTTCCCAATGAACTGCCGCAGTTCAGGAAGATCTTCCATTCCAATGTAGTCACCGACAAAATTCCTGTTGATGCTGTTTCTGCGCCTCTCCTTTTTATTAAGTAGCAGATCTGAAGCTGAGCAGAAAAGAGTTAGGTTAGAACCTCAGATTAATCCTTTGGAAATGCGCTAATAACTTCTTATTTGCTCTCCGGCAGAATGAAATGATGGGAATTATAGCAGGCTAAAGTTTCAGCCAGTTTTCTGCACCGGTCTATTCCTTCTTGTGAAGGTGTTGGTTCCCCAAATGGCCCAGTCTGCTTGAACCTTAATAGTGAGAATTGATGGGTTCTCAACCACAAGGGCAATGGAGACAAGAGGATTTTAGTCCATATCTGTTGTCCTCACACTTAGCCAGATTACTATGTTACTATCAAAAACAGAAACCCTGGTTGATTTCTACTACATCCTTAAACATTGGCGCACTAAGGTCAAGTGTAGTAATCCTATACTTTGGATACGATCACTCAGTGACCCAAACTTTGACAGGGTTTAGAGATAGTTCCATTGTAGATGAAGCAGGATTAATGCCATAAGTCAGTAATAATTACAATAGTTTGCTAGTTGATTGGCTGGTGGATTGAATCGGTTAGCGGAACCTGGAACACATTTGATGTCATGGCAGATGTACTGTATGTGCCTTGGCTAATGTGGCATTGCATAGGGGAGGGGCTTGTGAAGGTAAAGAAATATAGAGTACAGGAGCATCCTAAAATCCCAGTTACACTAGAGTAAAAGCAAAAGCAAGGTCCTGTGGACGTGGTGAGTCTGAAATAGAAACAGAAAATGCTGGACGTAGACAGCAGGTTGGCAGCTAGGCCCTCAAATGCATGTAAACATAGTCTTGTATGTATAACAGATGTCTTTGGTTTGTCTGGATAGAGTCAAACTCCTCTGTTTGTTTCCTTGACGTGCTACTGTACAGAACCAAACTGCATTCGTGACTATATATATATATATACAAAGATAATATTTATGAATAAAGTATATTTTTGACATAAAAAAAGCTCTGTAGAGAGAGAAACAACACAAACCCTTCTAAAGAAGAGATGTATCCAACTCAAACGGTTAACCCTATTTCCCTCTCACCAAGTTCCCTGGTTAAAGCAATTGGTGACGATGGTGCGGAAGTAGGGAAAATGATATGGAAGGGAGAGGGAGGTATGGAATAGGGGATTGAGATAACATAGGAACAAACAGTGGCAAAGGGATGGGAATGGTAATGAGAAGGGGATTTAAAGCAGTACTGTTACATTTCATCCATTGGTACTCTGCCTGAAGGTAGGCCCTTTTGCTGATTGCCTATGAATGCTTCTCTCTGAGCTGTTTCTTCAGCAGTTTTTGGCCATAATGGTTTGCCATACTCTCAGTGTAGGGGTGAGGTATCAGATCTCATGTCTATCATCAGCCAGAATGGGAATCTGCCCTGCAGCATTCTGAACCACACACTAACCATCGATCCAGTTCAGCTGTCCAGTCCCACTCTTCCAATAAAGATACTAACTCCACCACAGATGTTTTGAGTGTCTCTGCCAATGTAGAACCATCACTAATAATTCCAGTAGGGAATCCAGATGGTGGAGTTGAGGCTACAAACTACTAAGCCACTATGTTACCAAGTGGCAGAGCAGGCTCAAGGGACTAAGTGACTGGCTCCTAATTTTTCTGTGTGAGAAATAATAAAAGGATTTGTAGATGGGATTAGATGAAGGATGGTGGCAGGAGGCTTGTGTCGAATATTAACACTGATACAAACTGGTGAGGATTAAGGTTCTGCTTCTTGTAAGTAACAATGTATAACACAGCAGGAATGGAGCCTGGTACTGTTCTGTAATTGAATTGTTCTGCTACTCTGTGTAAAACACACTGTGCTATTAGGACAGGCCAGCTACTGAGTAACCGGGACTGCTCCAAGTAGACAAGATTCTCTACCTTCCTCTCTCATTTTTACGTATTTCTTCCTTGCAGCATATCTCCTCCATGCCTTCTGAATCGCTCGAGCGTATGCATCGTATTTTCTTTCCCTCATCTCTTCGAGTAAAAACAACTGCAGAAAAAAAAAAGATCAGCTCAATTAGAATGCTTTACTTTATCCATTCAAGGTTTGCAACAGGTGAGACTGCAGTAAAAATTGGAGAGGGGAAACAGACTTTGATGCTGAATGAAGTAGGTGGCTCCCTGATGCCTTCCCTCAAACACATTCTCTCGCTGGAACCAGGCCTCAAAACTTCAACTGACAGTGACCCCAGCATGAGACAACAGCATTCCTTCTGTCATGTGGATGTTCCAGTGCTTTGAGTGTTCACAATGAGCACTCTTAGAAAAAGTTTGGCAGTGAGTGTTTACAACAAATCATCATGCAATGTGGAGATACAATTGGCTCTTTGTTAAGTGTATGTTGGTAAAAAGGGCTGATATGCGACTTTTAAATCTGTTTCCCGGTATTGACTTTTTAAATGATCTCACTTCAGTCAAAAAGCTCCCACTAAGTAGGTGCATATCTTGATTCAGTATTGAATAATATGCTTCCAAATGTGAAGGTACTGCTTTCTGTTTGGGTTCAGGGGTCAAATCATTATTTTTCCAGAGGTTATCATGAGGGCTATTTCTTGATTTTCAACACAACTTTTCAGCTTTCAGGACTGCTTTCTCATTCTCACCAATTTCTTTACAAGATAATGCAGTCATGTGGTAATATTGCCTTCTGAGTTGACATGTGGGAACTTGGGTTCATACAGAATTAGAATTCATTCTCATCATCAATAAGCCCCTCATTAAACTTAAAATCACAACACCACAACGTTTGAATTGGCCTGAGAAAGCATCAAGTATAAGTTAACAAAAGTTTTTCTCGACAAAATAAATGGAGCATAATTCCATGGATACTGATGGTCCTCATGATCATTTTTTACATGCAAATGTAGACAGTAAGTGTCAGCATGTTACATGTTTATGATACAGTTGCTGTCAATGTGCCTTCTAAGCTGCTCCACAGTTCTGCACATGCCAATCCATGTGCCAACACATTGACTTCCGGTTTCAGAACATGATGCCGCACATGGACGTAGGAGGTGTGTGCACTGATAAAAAAATAGAGAGAGTATTATTTGCTGCATCACAGTCATCCTAATCTCTTCCTCACCGAAGATATACTAATCATTGGTGTTACATCCCGGTGGCATTTCTCTTCCTAGACTTGGGAGCTGAAGCTTTTATTACCCTGACTAAAATCAGTGCAGACTTGGAAACGGCTCTCCATGTGCGCTGGGCTTATTATCACACAGGACACAAGAGACACTGGGTTCAGTACCACAGAGGACAGGGTCTAAACCTACAGGAGGCACTGGAGGAGTGCATTCTGCCTCTAAAACCTGAAGCTCAAATCAACAGAACTTAAGTGTTCTGATTATCTCTTGATGTATTGAAAGTCTGAAACAAGATTTTCATTTTATGAACAAAGACCAACATGATAGAGAAAGCTAAAAATCAACCAAGTGCATTTCAGTAACGAATGATGCCCCAGGAAAACTATTTTTCAGCCATCAGCTCAGACAGTTTTGGTCCATTGCCCAGGCTGATTTAGCCACAAAGTTTACCCTTGAGCTTTCAGTGCTGATGTATGCCGGCATTTCTCAGCATCCTGTCATTTCCTACATCAGCTTGTGACCAGTTTCATTTGTTGTTTTAAAGAGACTAAACATCCTGTCCAATTCTTGGCACTCCTTTGAAAAGTCACAAAAACTCAGTTGTGACTAATTGGAGAATAGAACGTGCAACATTGAAACTATCATCAATAAGGCTTCACTATTCTGGGAATACAAGCTAGGAGGTTGGGCCTTAACAAGTCTTGGGTAATATTAGATCAGAAGAAATCTTTCTTTCTAATGGAGAAAACATTTTTACCAGAGGAGCTCTCTCTAAACTAAAACTGCTTAAAATGAAACTCAAGATTTCTAATGTAAGTATTTGGCAAATTGACTGGTGCCACTGGTAGAATGCATAATTTGGATTTACAATAAATAAAACGTGTACCAAAATAACACATCAAAAAAAAACTGAAGTTAACTATTTTTTTGACTTATTAAAAGATATAACTTTGTTGGTCAAGTCATCTTTAATTCAAGCTTTAACCGAGTAGTTGTAAAATTAGGAGGGTCTCTGGTTATTGATTCTCATGATAAAAATTATAGGGTTATATTAATGAAGGTGATGGGTGTCTCACCATCTAGACAGCTGACAGGAGCCAAACATTGCATCATTTTAGGAAGACCTACCAAATTAATTACTGAATCAGCAATTAAGTGACCAGCAGAGGGCCTTCCCCAAAATTGAAGACCTTTGGCATCCCTTGATCAATGGATGTGTTAGAATGATCCAATCAGGGCAGAGATGGGAAGGTGTCAGGAGCTCATCCAGCACCCTTCTATTTGATTAAATGCCTTGCCTTCAACTCAAGAAGAGAATCAGCTTCTGCTCATAGCATCTAATGGAACATTCAGAATAATTCATCACCTCAGATTTATTAGAAACAATAATGATTGGAATCACTTTTCCTTGAATCAAAGGCACGATCTATATCAATGGTGTAGCTAAACTACTCAAGTAAGTTTATTTAAAGCACAATGATGCTTTTTGATATGAATTAATTATTTATAACTACAAAGTGCAGCATCATGATTAGCCCTATTTAGCACAGTAAAATAAAATGGCTCTGACCTTTTATAACATAATCTTTACTTGGGCTTTTTTTCATAGTCATGTGATCCAACAGGTGAAAATTTGGATCTGTAGTGAGTCACACAGGGCTACTGAAGTACAGGTTATAGACCCGTAATCTAATAGAATAATTGAACTCAATCGCAGTGTAGGTACTCAAAGGAATTTTGTCAATTATTCAATGGTCAATTAGCACCATGTAAAACAGGAGAAACATAAGGATGTTACATCACATAAATGTGGCCATTAACAAGTGTTTGCAGAGTCTCAAGGTCAAATCAAAGTGACCTACAACTCCCAGCAGCAGGTGGATTGATGCCTAAGCCACAGACTCTAGAGAGAAATCAGTCCTTGGCTGATTAAGCCCCTAGGGGAAATATTGATTTTTTAAAAATTTAACCTATTTTTTCCAATCAACCTGTTTGGAGATGTTATTATATTACCTCTGTAGAAGGTAGGACTTGAAAATGGGCAACCCAGTCCAGGGATGGGACACTACCACAGTACCACAAGAGGGCCCTAACCTAACATTTTTAACCTGCTTTTCTGATCAACCTGTTCAGAGATGTTATACACCTCTGGAGCAAGTGGGACGTGAACCTGGGCGTCTTGGTCCAGGGATATGGAATCTACCACTGTTCCACAAGAGGGCTCCCTAACCTAAATTTATTTTTTCTCCTTTTGTAACCTCCACTACCCACCTCACACACACACACACACACACGCTCAGCAATAATGCTTATATTTTTCCCCAAATCACCCATGGCTGTGTATAATTTTTTTTTACAGTGACGCAGTAAAAAGACACCATTGTGTGTATATTTTATTATTTTTTTTACCACCAGGAAAAACACCCATGTGGCCAATTGAACATTAACTAGCAAAGCCTGTTAAGGGCAATGCTGTCATTTAAAAAAAAAGTTTAATTTAATTGAATACTACCAACCAGGAAAGCCCATTTTCATATTTCCCCAATATTAACCTGTTTCAAAGATAGTAGGAACTGCAG